TACAAAATAAATACTGTTAAGACACATGACGAAAGCTTGATTTCTTGAGCATAACCCCTCCCTAGTAATCGTAATGAAAAAGATCCTAACAGAGCAAGCTGATGAGTAAAGAGTCATTCTGGAAATACACCCATCTAGGAGAATCATAGCAGTTGGGTTAAATTCATACTTGCCTAGAAAGATGTTGGGAAGAATTCACTGGAATATGCTGTAGGCATTTGCAGTTGAGATGGAAGAAAGAAGCCCCCACTTCTAGCATGTAATTCAGATGTATTTTAGAAGTCTATCTTACGATAAAATGGATTGCGTCCTGGCCTCCAATGACCAGTCTCCAGAGATTATCAAAGGAGCACAGAACAATTATTTAAAATTCAGTCTTTTTCATTGTAGAGATATATTTTAGTTAGATTAATAGCTGTGACCAGAGTCTGCATTTGCAGAAAGGCCTTGGCTGACAAACAATATAGCTTTATTATGCATGCAAGTTCACCCATTGATGATATATTCATTATCGTACAGATGCTCTGTTCTGATATTGTAGTCTTTCATTAAGTAGTCAATGTCAAAGTTGTGGCGTTTTGTTCTATTTTGGATACTACAGTGTAGTCTGAAAATTGTATTACCTACTGATAGAACCATTTAGGTTCAAATTTTAAGCAGCTCTTCATTTTATTTTAATATTCCAATATTTCATTTTGTTACATAAGGAAAACTTCTTAAAATAATTTCAACTCCTTTGAAAAAGATTGGTAAGACTTTCTACTATTCTACGTTCTCTTCTTTATACTTATAGAAGATTCTCTCCTATGTTCTTATCCACTGTTTGATCTCTCAGACTTTTTTTCTGAAAAAAAGGAAGGCTGTTTTGGAAACTGACTGAAGTAAACAATCAAACGTGTCTAAGGTGGACTTCATGGAAGCCTTTGTAACTACTTTTCATGATGCTGTACTCAAAATCCTCAGATATATTTCTGTTTGAGAAGTTTTTTTATATTTTCAGCCATGAAACATTGCTGCACATTGTTGGTAAGTATAAGCTTACTTCACTTGATCAACAAATTAAAGTTTCCATCCTACATGATTTTTCAACGTTATGATTTGAATTTTAAGCCTGAATTGGGCTGTTAAGTTGAACTACTAACAATTCTTCACAGAGAAGAGTGTTTCAGAACTCAGCTGGTCTGAAAACAAAACCACTACTTTCATCAATGATTCTACCCACCTATGGACATTCTCACAGAGTATCGATCTTTCTGAATATATGAAAGGAACCCGTGTGGCAGAAAAAAAATATCTTCCCTTTATTAGTGTTCTGGTATGAAGGTTTTACAAAATCATGAAGTCCACAAACTCATCCTGTATTCTTTTTTCATGTCCCGTCTTACCTGAATGACTCCTCCACCTTGGCCATCCTTCCCAGCTAAAAACTCTTCAGGCAAATTAATCATCTTCCCTAGCCAATCCAGCATGACAGTCTCCAGCTCCGTGCAAGCTGGACTTGCGGCCTGTGTTAAAAAATAGAACAGAGGGAATAACCTCACTAGACCATGAAAAGAAACAGGATCCACCAGAGCAAGAATAACTCTTTCTCTCTCGGTCTTCCGACTATAGAGGAAGAGACTAGCTGACTAACTTCACCAGCTATATTAGGGGCCTGAAGACCATTTTGTGCATGTTGTTTCTAATATTCACTTAAAAAATGTCAAACTGGGGCTCATATAGAACCACGACTACCAAATGTCAGAGCTAGGATTTGCATCTTGCATATTTTTTTTTCGACATCAAGTACTAATCTCTTTTGAGAAGAGCCCATTTCATATGAATGTGGACTTTTTTAACACATTTTTCCATTCATCCAGATGATAAGAGAAGTAACAACACTGGGTGATAGGCAACAGTCATACTACTTAATGAATCACCAATTAGTTTGCACTGCTACCACTAATTCTAAAGGCTGGTGATTTTTCAAGGGCAAAACTTCTAAGAGGAAATAGCCTTTTATTACTGGAGTCATTTAGGGTGTCTATGTGAAAACACTTAATTAGTCAAGGAAATTTACCTATAAAAATAGTCCTGTGACTTCACTGCTGTTAATCAATAATGTCATTGAAGAATGTCACTGAAATGCTTAAAAACTTGGCAAGAAGAAACACCATTACCACATAGCAGTACATACCACAGTAAACTTACCCAAGAGAAGCCAACACATCCTATTCCACCACACAACATATCTGCAAGAAGAGCTGGGAAGGAAGAGGCTGCAGGGAAGTAGGCAAAAAAGTACGGACTGTGCCAGTGAGTCACCTGCATTGAGGGAAAAGTAGTCATTTTTAACTATTTTGTTCTTTCATCTCTGTCATGCGACTGACTTAGCAAAAGTGTTTTCAGTGTAGCTGAGGTCCACAGAACTCTCTTGCCCACACTCTATTTATTTTCTAAAATTCAGACACTGAATCTGGCCAAAACAGCTTCTCACAACAAAAATGAAACAATCCATTCCCGTATCTTATACCTTCTGCAGAAAATTAAATTCTCATCTCCCTATAACAAGTTGTGATTTATGTACAATTCCACTTTATATGTACTAATATGAGAGAACACCACAATAACTGCACTAATTGTAGTCAATTGTCTTGCAGCAGCAATATTTAGAATTATCTTATGCAACGTCTAAGCAATTTTTAAGGATCTGTGAGAAATTTGATAGTGCTCCACAATGCCAATCTAATACAATTTGAAAACAGGAAATGTACGGCCACACTGCAATGTTAAATAGTAGAAATAATGTGATATGATATGTTTGGTAAAACCAGCTTTCACATTCAAGATAAAAGGCAAATTTTAGAAAAAAGTGCTTCTAGAAGAGTGGATGGACTATGAGCAAGAATTCAGCAGAATGTGTGTAAGATCTTTCTTGACTGAAAATCCAGAGGCTGCTGAGTTATTGAAGCCTAGACTTTTCTTATGCCGTTTTTTCTTCTTTATTTTAATACTGGATTTCTTCTGTTACAACGGGAGGATGGTAAGAGCATCCTGAAAGCATTGCTTGCCTGAGCTCAGTGTTTCCTTACTGTTTTGTTCCACATTCCCACCTCTAATGAATTTTACCTTTCTCATTCCCCTCTCCCCAGCCTGCCATAAGGTTTCTGGTTCTGAAGCTAACTCAGCGATCATTGTACTGCACTGTTCAACATACTCCAAATATCCTTTTAATTTCCTCTTCTAACCTTCTTCATGCCAATGACCAGTTCTTCTTTCAGGGACATGGTCCATGCTAAGGAGCAACTGTCTTAATTCTTGTCTACACAATATCAGATCAGGTATCACTTTCTCTGCTGTAGTATACCATATATAATATTTCAGATGCCCCTATCTCTTTCATATGAAACCAGCTCCTATCCACTACAATTTTCCACTGTCTAAACTAACCCTATACCTGGTATGTTCAAGATTTCACTTTTACTGGTCACTTGGTTCAAACCTGCTCAAATCAGATATCCAAAGAAAAGCCACTGTGAACGCTTTTAGCTCTATCTCTTGTATCTGGTCAGGATCTCTTTCTTTGATGTAACAAAGCTCTACAGCACTTGTGGCAAACACCTTCCTTTACAAATCAGAAAAAAAAATGGGATGGGTCTTGGTTCTTCACAGGAAAACAATAAACAGATTAAATAATAGCCAATAAACAGTGGTCCCTGATAGGACCCACATGCACAGACTTTCACTGACGTCCAAAACGAGCCAGGGCTGCCACTGTTCATCTCCCCAGTTCTAATCCTCTGTGATCTGTAAGACTTGTGACATTCATCTTGGGTTAATCAGGTTAAACTGCCTACTTGCTGGGAGCCATTTGTTTGATGAAACACAGCAGATTCCAGTTGCACCACTCACACAACACGAAAAAGCCAAAAGCCCTGGGGCAAGCACAGCTGCGATTCTTCCTCCTGCCTCCCCTTCCCCCTTCCCCCTTCGCTTGAAGCAGCTGTAAAATTCATTTCTTTCGCCATGTTGGAACAGACACACTTTGTCAAATATTGCAAAGAGCGTGACATAATTGATGCTTGTTTTTTTCAGCCCTCTGCTGATAAACAGTGATACACAAGTGTCTTGGGTTCAGTAATTACCACTCTAATGCTTCTCAGAGACATGTTATTTCCCAGATTTCCTCTAAGGATGTCTGTCTTTCCGTGGCTTGCTTAGTCTAAGCAAGAGTCTTCCTTTAACGCACACTAAGGACAGCTATTTCAGCTGAAAGTTCATATATTAATGGATCCAATGTGAGGAAAATTAGCGCCTTCAGTACTGCTATTTGCAGTTACAACTAAACTTGATCCCTTTTGGCTCTGAAAAAGGAGGAGACATTTCAAGAGAACAAAGCAAGTCTGAGAGAAAATGGTGACTGCCACTGATAGTTTTATATGCAGATCCCTTCCACCTTGGCTTCCTTCTGTACAGATCAGAGTTCAGCACTTGTTTCCTCAGTCCCTGTGTTAATATTAGGAACTTAGCACCATTATGGTCATTATCATTTAGTGGACTGCCCTTTGAAGGTCTACATCCAGTTTCATAAGAAGTCTCCACAAAGAAGTTTTACCACTCATGAATTCTTGTTCTCCTATAGGGTAAAGACAACAATGGATACTGCATTATAGCTTTACACAATTAATTGATCCTTGCTCCTCTGAAGGAACACCATTTTCACATTTTCAGTCATCAAATAAGTATCAAATATCCGAACACAACTAACACAGTAAAGACATCAACATGAAGCAAACAAGAATCACTTATGGACCACTGATAGCTTATGGGCAAAACAAGGTTTTATGATGTCTGTCATATTACTTATTTTCTCTGAAGAAGCCCAGTTCCTCATTTATAAAACGAAGATAAGACATTCCCCGGTGAAATACTGGAAAAGTGCTATAGCTGAAAAACACTGGATGTACTTATAAATGTTAGTCTTGTTCGGAAAAAGATAGGAAGAAGATTAAGGGAAAATATAATGGGAGTAGAGTGTCCCCATTGCCCATTTCAGAAGTCCCTAAAATTAATTATAAATAATTTAAAGGTCTCTAAACCAAATGGGAACAAGTCTTCCTATGCTAAGTTCTTCCTATACTCCCTGCCCCCATGTGTTTGTACAGCACCATCATTTTCACACTTCGGTTTCTGTGAGCACAGCTAACAGAGGCAGCCAACAGATGCAGCAGTTTGTGCAGCACAATGCACAGAAGAGGTCCAGAAATGCTGCTACGGTTAGTGCACATGGGCTCTGCAGGGGTGGTGATGCTCCGCAGGGCACAGTCCCCAGCAGCAACTGGAACAACTACCCCTGGCACATCACAGGTCTCGATCCAGACTAAGCTCCCGAGGGAGTATGAAGATGTGCAGGCCTGGGATTGCAGGGATGATGGGGCCTCCTGCCAGTGGGAGATGGTCTTTTAGCCTACAGGAGGTATGCACTGGGGGAGGGTTTGTGTTGCCATGTGAAGGAGCAGCATGAGGAGGTCAGCAGATTGTGCAGTATCAGAGATGACAAAAAGGAGATTGAATGGATCTTCCTTGAGACATAGCGCAACGTATCTCAGACACAAGAGCCAGAACCCCTAAATGCACCAAAGGCAGGGCAGTCTGAGTCTCTGCTTCTGCTCCACTTGCAGATCTGCAACTACAGGATAGGTTCAGTTCTCTGGTTGCAGGTGGGCTGGGAGCCCTGTGAAGCAGTCAGGCAACCTGGTGTTGACAGCAGGGATCTGGGTTTTAAGACCAGTGGGACCCTCTTTGAGGATCAACTCCTAGGAAGAGACAGGATCCACCTGAACAACTGGGGCAATCTTTGCAGACAGGCTGGCTAACCTGGTAAGAACTTTAAATTAGGAATGATGGGGGAGGGAGATGAAAACCCACAGTCAAGGGAGGAAGGTGGACTAATTGGGCAAGCAAAGGGTGAAGGATAACGTGGACAAGAAAGATAATGAAAACAAGATGGGGCTAAAGCGGACCCACCCCAAGTGCTAAGAGGACTGCATTACAGGGGGAAGTTCTCATGTCTTTTCTGGGAAATCAGCACAAGTGGGTGCCTCTCTGAAGCACCTGTATGCTATGGCATGACGCACGGGGAGCAAACAGGAGGAATTAGAAGGCTGTGTGCAGTTACAGGGCTGTGAACTCATTGGGATCACAGAGATGTGGTGGGATAGGGCACATGACTGAAGTGCTGTAGTAGATGAGGATAGCTCTTTAGGAAGGATAGACCAGGAACACAAGGCAGGGGGGTGGTCC